TCTGCACTCAAGCTGCCCGGCTGCTGACTGCACACACACCGAGGCACCAAAAAAAAGAAGAGAGAAAAAATGTAAAGAAATAAGGAGGAAATGGAAATATGAAACATATCAGACTTTCACAGGAAATCTGAAAAAACGCATGTGCCAGAGTCCATATGAGTGATTATGAGTGTTTGATTATGTCTGACAAAAACATGTTTCTTTCTCCTTTGCAAACTTTATGGACATGTCGTAATACATCTCACATGATGCTGTGTAAAAAGGAAAATTCAACTTTCTGGGATTATCTTATTGACCAAACAATAACGTAACACACACATAAAAAAAAAAAACAGAACTTAATTTCTGTTTGCAAAGTAAACTACAGATCACAGATCAGGGAAGAGGGGGAAAACATGGCTGGAAAATGTATGAAAGTGTGACTTGTGATGTTCAAAGCACAATCTGCTCAGAATTTAAAGATTAGGAAAACCTGATAAATGGACTGCAATCAGCATATATATGAATGATATTTTCAATTCAACCTAATTTTAAGGTGCAATCCAAACCTGTACTGCCTTCTTTGTAGGTTTTTTTCACTTATCTCAAGCATGACACTCAAACTGATTGACTGATTGCTGCGGCTATCCACCACTGCAGATTCCTGATGCTAACCCAGACTGATATCATCTGGACACGTTTGTCCATTACATCTGTGACCTGATATAAGTCCACAATGCATAGTTGATGTCTCACTAATCTCACTTGTTAGGTGTGTTGTGTTTACAGTTAATTACTGCACAATACACTGCGTTTGGCAGCGTTTTTCAGGGTTTCTGGGAAAACTGTGAAGTGGAGGGTCCGTCAGAAGCCCATGGCCTCTGTGCCTGCCCATTCTTTATGAATAAATTAATCAGTAGTGACACTGCACTACGTGCTTTTTCGTTCCTCATTATCTTAATTAGCCGTCTATATGGATGCCTCCCCCTTCTCTATTGCATTTCATTAATACATTAACATGCACTTGGCAAAAAAAGAGAAAGGACGCAGACACAGTGGCGGTCGCTTGGTTGACCACTTTGTAGTCTCACACTTTTCTTACCTGCTTCGCCTGGCCCGTCAAGAGTTTTGTCCTCTGCGTGTCCTATCCAAAGCTCTATAAAGGAACTTCTAAAGTCACTAGTAATTACTGTTACATTATGCTAATGAGTACAGATTGAGGTACGCCCTAAATGAGACATCACACTTTGAGGGTTTTTCAAACAACAGTTGCACATGTGGGTGTTTGTTTTTTGTGTTTGCGATTTCGTTACGTCACAAAGTCACTTTGTCTCACTGTTTCCACAGGCATAGCTGTGTTGTGTTCTTAACGTCTCTCATTTCACACACCTCATTTAATGCAGCATGGGACGAATTTGGAAAGAAATGTCAATCTTTTCCAAGGACCACAGCTGGGAACTGTGGCTATTCGGCATGAATGAAGAGGGCACACCAACACATGAATGGAGGGGAAAGCGCGGACGTGTGTGTGGGTGTGGGGGTGTGTGGGGGTGCAAGTGGGCATATTGGAGTAAGAGTGTGTAGTTGCAACAGTGATGAGGTGAGAATGATGAAGCCCATTCCTCAAAAAGTCACCATGTGCAGTTCACATGTTGGGTCTTTGCTAAAGAGTTGCTCATTGAAACTCCTAAACAAACACATTCACAAGAGAACACACTCTCCCTGAGCTCACCCCCCCTCCCTCTGTATGGTCACACATGCTCACAGGCACCCACCTTGGTCTGGTAATGCCTGCAGGCACAAAGTGATTGACAGTATCCAGATTGCCAGATTGTTCTCAAGAGCGTTGCGGAATGACATCACACTCATTACAACTTCTAAATATAAACAGTCACCCTGCTTGACTGACAAGTCTGTATACACGCATGTGAGCCTGTGTGTTTTTGCAGTTCTCCTATAATGTGGTTACAAAATGAAAGCCTCTATAGGAGTGTTCTATAGGGCGGTCATTAATAACCCATTACCTGCATATGATAACTTTATTGTTACTGGTATGTTCAAGCTACATTGTAGAAGATACAAAAATTTAATAAGAAAATAATCACAACCTCATACATAAATCTCTGATATGCAGATAAATGAATGCATGTTGTCTACAACATAGAGTGGGTGTTAAGTCTGGTCTGGAAAGGGGAGGAACAAAAATAATAGTTTTCGAAATGGCAGTTATTAACTGAATTAAAAGCTTATGTGACTGTCTTAATTAAAACTAGGGCATTTATCTAGTTACCTATCGGGGCCCTGTCTGAAACTGGCGCTTGAATGGTAATGATGCACAAAAACTACAGGCAACATTCAGGGAGATGAGTCAACATTGTGGGAGATGCCACACAAACATGCACAAGATTACAAACACACACATTTGTATGGCTGCTGCTAAGTTCAAGGCTCCCCTTGCTTGTCTGGCCAGCACATTGTAATTTACAAGCACTCAGTGTCACGTTGAGATCTCAATTAAGCAGCTTGGATACACACTGGAGCCCTCGGGGCTGGGTTGAGCAGGGCCCACATTCGGCCTATCTGGCCGAGGCACACTGCAGAGTTCTGAGCTGCTCCAAGCCTCCAACCGCCCGCTCCCTCGCCTGCCGCCCACAGACAACGCCAACAGTAAATATTTGAGGTTAGAAACAAAGAGGGGAGAAGGGATTCATTTAGCTCATTTGAAAACATGACATTGTGATTAAAAGTCAGGCGGTCTGGCAAGAAGGACACTTTCATTCTTTACTTTAGATATGAGGCTCCACGAGGCTGCAGATGTTTTCCACAAGTCTGCTGGAATCTTATAAAGGTAGTGCAACATCAGGAAAAATTATATGACAGTCTGATAAATACAGGAGAAAAAGGAAGTACAAAAACTAGAATTGTGAGATAAGAAAATAAGAAAAACAGGAAGAAACATGCATATGCACCCAAACAAGAGAAGAAACAAAAGGGAGACTAAAAACCACATTAGTACTTTGCAGAAAAATTTAAACAGTCACTGGCTTAAGGATCTATAAAGATACCATGTGCTGGAATAAAGCAACAAAACCCCATAAGCTGCCACTACTGTTCAGTGATCAGATCCATATGGACCTTGGCCCTCCACCACCTGCCTTAAACATTCCCAGTGCCTAACAAGCCAGTCAGCCTCCAACTGGTCTCAGACACACTTTACAAGCGACCATATTGATGGCTATTGAGCTAGAGTGCAATTTAGCTCACCAGAAATCTTAAATTATACTCTAGCCATGTGCAGCTTTATATACCCCCACACAGGGACAGACGCCACATAAGAGCTTCCACTTCCAGCCCAAGTCAATCCTGGCTCTCAATCAAGCTCTAAAGCATGACAAAATGGGTAGAGTGGTGCCAGCCCAAATACACATTTTATTGGAAAATGAATGAGTTTTCAATTTTCATCAATTTCTAGAGCTTAAGATGTTTAAATCCAATAAAGAATGTGGCCTTTTATCGCATGGTCTATCGTCTTTGTGTGAAAAAATGGATGTTTTTTGTAGCAGTCATAGAGTAATTATTTTACTCTATGGCTTAATATTGTGTTAATATTCAAATCAAACAAATACAAAAATCTTCCCACTGACTATTTAAGATTTAATAAAAATGTTGGTATTTTCTAAGTCGGCCAATAAAAGCATAATTCTCTAATTCCCTATTGAATACAAAATCAAAACAGCAGCTAAAAACTATCACTTAACATGACTGAATATTATGTCTAATGAAATGTGTTGATGGTTTTGCTTAACAGAAAATGCTTCTGCCGTATTAGAGAGGCTCTCGGTGAGGCCCATCAGGGACTCCAGGCCATAGTGAGTGCACATGCCAAAGCTCCTGATTGGCATTATCCTAACAAGCTGCAATTACAGCCCTGAAATCCAGTCTTACTGCAGTGGCTTTAACAAGCAAGTCATCACGCAGCCCACAATTATCATCACCAGAACTATTAAAAACGACGGCTACAGCCTTGTTAAATGCTCTCATATGTGAAAGCCTCACATTATTCGCAGGACACTGTCTGACTGATGGGCAGCACAAACAGAGGTGCCGGACACACGAAGAGAACTGCAATCGGTGAGGTAAGTGGAAGCCCAGAGAAGCAGGGGGAAAGTGTCAGAAATGCATTCACAAACAGCAACAGGTCAGTGGAAAACACCAAACCTGCAGCAGAACAGCTGCACACTCAGCTTCCCTTGTATAGAGGTATGTATACAAATATGCCTTTTCACCTTTCTTGACCTCTTTTTACTTGCTATTTCCTACTTTCTCACTTTGAATGCTTTCCTCCATATACTGCTTGACACTGAGCTGGGACTAGAGACCCTCCTGTGAGTCACCACTGGAACTTAGCGGTTTCTGAAGCTAAAGAGCTTGGCTGTTATAGCGGTACTTCAGCAACAGGCTGCTCCCTGGTGGGCACATCCCTGTTGGGGCTTCGTCACTGTGGGCTTACGGTTGCTTCTGTGATCTCATTTTATGAGAGGAAAAGGAGGTGGGGGGGCATCTAAAACAAGCACTGGGAGACAAAAACATATTTTACAGATTCCATTCTGATGTAATTTTGTTTCTTTAGAGAGGGGAGGAAAATGAAAATTAAATATGGGAAAGGTGGGACCTTTGCCTCGGCTGGGATACAACTAAATGAAAGGGCTCCCTTCACTCGCTGGGACATTAAGAAAAAAAGCCAGAGAGTTGTAAATGAGAACTGTTAGAGAGTTCACTATGACAACTCGCAGCACAACATAAAGTCATTTATTCTAATCTTGGCATAACTACGTATGAAAGGGCTGCCATTGTCAAATGAGTTTGGACTGATTTATTATATGAAATAGCAACAGATACAGACACATTGAAATATGAGGATCTGGCTTTGAAACACAAGAAAGGAAAAGAAGGTCACAGGAGGAGGTAGGTTGTGTTTGGGGTTAGCGTCTGCTCACAGTCAGGGCAGTGTGCCTGTCAGGTCATGCCTGGATTAGGTTGGGCAGCTGGAGTGTGTACTTGGCAAAATGCAGCGGAGTGGCGCAGATCAGAGATGCAGCGATGGTCCTATGGGATGTGGTGGAGGTTTTGGCAGGGCTGGGGACAAGCAGGCCCTGACCGAGGCCAAACTGAGGCCATGGGGAAGGACCGAGGCCAGAAGCCAACTCAGAGAGAGGAGCCTCTGTGTAGAATACCGGCTCTGAAGGGCTGGCAGCCCTCTGCTCTTGGATGGCAACTCTTAACAGAGCAACCTGCACGGATCTCCCTTCAGAGATATCATTTATGTAAGGGAGTTTCAGGTGACTCGTTACGATTAAAACTCACAGTTATTTTATCCATAGCACATGCCATTTCCTAATGAACAGCAGCTTGGATTTAATGTTTTAATTTTTAGATGAATTTAGTGGCAGTGATTTCAACTGTTAATTGTCCATGTTTTAAAGTCAACTAAAAATTTGATAGCTGTGCTTTTCATTTTGAAATGATAATTTGCTGGACATTTGGACACACATGCCTGCCAACGTGTGTGGCTGAGATGTTTTTTCTGCATGAAGTTGTGAGAAATATTTAACATTTCTGAAAAGTGAGATAAAAGGCTTTTATCAGCAGCTTTTTTGTATTCACCTACTCTTAAGGTCCTACCAGAGGCGGCGTGGCCGCTGCAGCTGTGTCCACAGTAAGTGTGAAGTATGTCACTCGGGAAATGCGGGGCTATACAAACATGAACAGCACACAAACACAAACATTCCGAATGGGATGATGGCTGCACCTTCTTGTACATGAATAGTATTTGCAAATTTATATTTCCAAGTGTCACATATGCTGTTAATGTATCGTTTTGATTAATGAGTCATTTCACCGTTAAATCCTTGATTTTTTTCCTCCTTAAATACCAGCACTAAACATCTTTTTGCATTCTCTAAATCCCATTCAGTTACACACATCTCTTCATACCAGCTGCATGACCTTTGTCAATAGCAAAAATCTGCAAGGTGAGTGTGTCTCCGTGTGTCCATATTTGCATTTATTTCTTGTACAAACACCCAGAAAGGTCCATTTTTCTTTTCATTCATGCACCCACATGCACACGTGCATACTGGGCGAACTTCCTGATTAATGACAGCCATTTGTCAGGCAAAGGTGGTTAAAACAGTGAATATTATCTTTGTGCTAAGGGCCAGAGCACATCACACCTACCCTCTCGTGTCTTTCATAAGTGGCTGAACACGGTGGGCACGCGGCAACGTGCCGGCGACACGGCAGCCAGCAGATCTATTCTCATTACTTGTCTATTAGGACATCAGCTTCCACTGATCAGGCCCTACATCTCTATACTGACATCAGAGGGAGGGAGAGGTGGATGAAGGGTAAAGAGAAGAGGAATGACAGCAATGGAAGAAAAGAGGAATGGGGAAAAGGAGGGTTTCTCTGTAATGTGAAGGGAAACTTGACATTTCTGAATTTGATTAATACAAGTCTAAATCATCCCATTTGGGGAGTCATATTGCAGTACTACTCCCATGGTAAATGGCATTTATCTGCCCTTATGCTGTCCTTCAGTGGAGAGATTAACAGATTTGCTTTGCAGATTGTTCAAGAGAACATGACCTTCTGAAACAAGCATGAATGACTTTGCCTGGTAATTTTTAAACCAATTTATAAAGAAATAAACATGCTGTCAGTAAAACTATGCAGAGGGAGCCATGATGGAGGTTTTTCATTCAGATGATAAGGTGGCATTTTCCTGTGATCACCCAAGTCTGAGACCAAAGTCAGACCGAAAATGCTGTTCGTATCCAAGCAGAACAATGCAAACTTTTTCTGAGCAAAAGCAAAAGTCCAGTGTCTGCACATGTGAAGAATTACATGTAAGCCATATGCAGCTAAAAATATGCTGACCTGTAATTGTTTTGTCATCTATGACATGGACTCAACAAAAATGAAAACACTGCACATTTCCATGACAGCTCTATCAGAATAGACTAAAATGACAGACACGGAACACAGAGGTCCAAGTCTTGGTACATGTTACATGGATGTTTGAGCAGGAAAAACATAACACTATAAAATCTAAAAACAAATATTTATTTGTTGTAAGTGGATAAGTAATTAATCCGTTAAGGTGACAGAGTTTTAATTAATTAATTTAAGAAAAATACACACAGTGATTCCAAAAAAGGTAAAGATGAAGGCGAAGCTTTGCTTGAATTTGTGCATTACATTTTTAATAGGGATGAGTTCAAGAGGAATAGTTTTCAAAAAACAATTACTAAAAATAATAAATGGTTTGTGAAAATGGCATAGCTCATTTATTAATTGTGTTCTGTTATATGGACTAATTCAACATTTTCCTGAAAGAGTGGATGTGTCTAAATCTCTGATTGGCAGTATGTATAATATGTGTCTGCAAAACCAGAAACAAAACTATTTTTTGTTCTCTATATTCCAAACCTTTCTTCTTATTCGTTTCACCACTATGCTGCCAATAAATACGGTGGCATGCTTAGTTATTTCCTCGTCGGGACAGACAGAGGATGAGAGGTGGGGCTGAGGGCCACTGCCAATATTTGCATCTGATCGCTGTAAATCACACCTTCAGCGGTTCCATCCTCATGCTGGAGATTTAATGAACTACCGCAGGCTTTTTATACCTCTTAAGGCTCACTGAGTGACCACTTTGTACTTGTTCATAAGAGAGGCGATGCTGCGTCTGCCTACTAAATCTTCCCTTTGCCACTGAGGATAAAATCTCCCTTCATTCATGGCCTATTTACCAGATTCAGATTTATTACAGGGGGTGCTCTAACAAAAGAATGGTGAGAGACAAAACCCCGACATCCCTCTCCTTTCCTACCCCGAAGGCAGGCTGAGACTTTCTCATCAACTCATCTACTTATCCATATTTGTTTAATAGTGAGTGTAATGCTGGTGATTTAGAAAAGAAAAGTCAAGTGGAGATGATGTGCCCCGTTAAGTCAGCTTAAGAACTAATTTATAACAATTTTGTTAAGCTAAATAGTATACATGCACATCCCAACCGTCCGCTCACTGACCCACTGGCTTTGTTGCCACGGTGACACATCTCCTCTGGTGTCTGGGCTGACTGTGGGGTCAAGGGTGAAAGGTCAAAGCAATGCTTAGATGACTGACCTTTGTGATGGCTTTGCCAAAAAGCCTTTAACAAAACCTTCAAACGTCTTCACTCCGGGTGACTGACACATGCAGACAAGCTGAAATATACACATAACAGGAGGGTGCGCTCATTACTGGATATTTCTGTCTGTATTCTGGTACCTTTGATTGGGCACCTGCCTGCACTGCCTTCCAAATGCAAACAGCTCACCTGTCCGTCTTCTGCTGATACACTGCTGCCTGCTAACACTTGCACGCTGCAGTTCATGGACTTTACTGACCCAGCTTTGACCCTGAGGCATTGTCTATCTTTATTCGTCTTGAAAACACCCCACACTCACCTCCTCCACCACTATTCCAAGCCTTTATTACAGTTTCTCAGATCTGCTGTTATTCACTTTAGAGTCAGGCTGTTATCTGTGTGTTCCTGTGTCATTGGTAATAGAAAAAAAAAACAGTACAAAAAAAAAGCATAACCAACCTTACTTGGGCATTTATTTACTTTCCAAATTATGAAGCTAATCTATTTGATATGTCGTTTCAGCAACCTCGTTTAAGTTGTTAATGTACAGGAATACTTAGTTCGCTTACACTTAACTACATATTTATTTTAGAGTAGCAACACAAAAATTACTGGGGTATATGACTGTAGTCAGAATCAGAGCAAAAGAAATGTGTTTTTAAGGAGCAATGTGCATACTTTGCATTGTTATTTTGTGCACGAATGAGTGAGAATCTCACTGAAATGTTTACCAATACTGTTACAGTTTTAAGACGATTTTATACATTTTCCCTAAGTGGAGCATCAAATATGTTCCCTCCGGAAACACAAATCATCTTATAATCCACATACTACACTAAAAGTGCTCACAGTTAAGCACGCGTTCTCATGCTTTTCTATCATTTTCTTAGCAGCAGCATGAAAGACGCCTGCCTAAACTCCACTGGTGTATTAACATAGATGCATGCTTTTGAGTTTTTACAAAGTTTGGTCACAATAATATTTCTTAAAAAAACAACAACAAAAAATAAAAAAACAAGCAGATTAATGACTGAATTTGATCTCACTTGAGAAAAACTCAGAGAATTTAAATTTAACAGAGATAAGAAGACATCAAACGCCCACATGTGTTTACTTATTTTTAAAAAGCTGGGACTTGTTATCAGGGCTGGGCAGGACTTTAGGCTCCACACATCTTGTTGTTTTGGAGCCTTTCTAGTCTTGAGACGCTGAGGAGATGGGGGGGGGGGTGGTGGTTAATGGCAATGGTGGTGTGTGTGTGTGAGATGGGGCTTGAACCCTGCTGTTCCACCCCCCTCCAACTCAGGCGCGGGCCAGAGTCTGGATGAGTGCCAGAAGTTCTGCACTAATATTCACAATAATGTTGGTGCTCCAAGGAGCGAGTGACAGAAAACACTGTGGAGTTGTGCCAGCTTTGGCTCCCCTCCCTCTTTCCATGCCCCACCACACCTCCCTCAACACCCTTTCTTTCTGTAGTGTTACTCATTCTAATCTCTCAATTTACCCAGTTTGCGGGCCGTGTGCCTCACTCAAAGTCAGGAAAGTTGTGCCTTAAATTTTTCAGACCATTTGCATTTTCAGTAAATAGCATTAATGACAGTGATTACTGTCTGAAAGGGCCATTTTTACAAAGAAGCTGAAGCTTTTTATTAAGAAACTGTGCTTCATTAAATGAATAAGAGAATATTGTTGCCAACACAAACAAGATTAAAAAAGTATCTTGTCGAAATCCATATGCTGTTCCTAAATAAGTTTTGCATGCATTTTCTACTTATGAATATTTTATATATATATATATATACAGTATATGTGTGTCGTTGTGTATGTGTTTGTGTTTGTGTGAGTATGGACAGCTCACGAGTCAGAAAAGACAGGCAGGAAAGTTATACACTCAAAGTAAAACCATGAGGCTTCTGTGTAAGAACCATCAGAGGAATTTTCATAAATTAGTGGTTTACAAAACAATTTGATCTGGGTTCATTAGAGCCCCATTACTTTCTCTTAACTCTTCAAATGCCACTGGTCTGACTGCAAGACCAGTAGTAATTATACAGGACACTTTTTCCCCAAAGTGTCTTTCTTATACTTATTCCCCTG